CAGAGACACTTTCAAAGTGTCCATTATATAGAGGCTAGCCTCAGTAGCCTGTACATGTACATGTAGTCCAGCCTGTCTGGAGGTGTGTGTATAAGTAATGTAATACCTGAGGACTGAGATATCTACTTGAGTGAAGATATAGTGGGAGTAGATTAGGGTACATTCCATAAAAGCAACAGCAGGTGTCACTGGTAATTAATAATGAATGAGCCATTACCCATGTACATGGTCACTGTACTGTCAAGTAGGAGTAGCAACTGGGGAGTGTGTATCAGTGGTAGATACACACTTAACTAATGACCTCTCTCTCTCTCTCTCTCTCTCTCTCTCTCTCTCTCTCTCTCTCTCTCTCTCTCTCTCTCTCTCTCTCTCTCTCTCTCTCTCTCTCTCTCTCTCTCTCTCTCTCTCTCTCTCTCTCTCCCTATTAGCTGAAGAAGTCTCCATTAATCTAACATGCAGTGAATAATAGACAGTGATCATGTGAGACTTCATTCAACAAGGAACGGACAGTCTTGATGACATTCTAGTACTGAATCTTGAGGGAGAGAAAGACATATTCATATCCATCAGTGGGGACCTACTCTCGACATGTTTTGGGTCTTCACTTGAAACCCTAATACATGTACACACCTACGTCAGGGAAGTACCCACTGCTCAACTACTGGACCTTAATTACCATGGTAATGGAGATAATAATAATAATAATAATATTATTATTATTATTATTGTTATTGTTGTTGTTTAGTCTTCATCGTGGGAGGAGTATGATTCTCATGCCCTCTCAGTCTGCAAGGCTCCGCCCCCATTAGACATACCAAAGGAACTGTACAGACTAGTGCAGTAACTTTTAGACCACGGACTGAATGCAGTAAGAAAGAAATAATTTCACATCTTTATAATAATAGAACTATTAAAGCTCATTTTTGCATGTACTCTTTGTTAGGAAAATAATTTCTCGTCCTTATAATTAGAATTGATTGTATAATTAGAGTATATTATCATTATCATTATTATACTCCACAGACTGCACTGTTCACTGATGGTGGACTCTCTAGTGAGAGAGAGAGAAGATAAGGGATACACTGGATACTGGGGGAGAGGAACTGGGTGAGTGGGGCCGGGTCTTATACACACTTTAATTTCAGTACTGGGTCTGAGACACATTAGTTATTATCATTTCTCATCTGTTGGTAGTGTTTATTCAGTCGCTGCTGTGTTGTTGAAATTTTTAAGATCACTGGAGGATCCAGTGGTACCAAGATCAGTCCATCAGAGATGTATGGACGCCTCCAACAACCCAACACTCTGTAGACAGGTACACTGCAGGGACTATGTACATGTAACTATACATGTACATGTGTATATGGACGTTTACCTACTTGTACATTTACATGTATGATACATGTACTTTTAATTATACATGTACAACATGAGTTTATTGAACACTAAATTAAATTGATATTATTATTATTGTTGTTGTTATTAGGTGTTGTTGCAAATGGCTGAGGTTCACAGAAGGTGTTTTGTTTTTATAGTAACATTTCTTAAGAAACTTTTAGAACATTCACAAGAAAACAAAATGGATGCTAAAGTATTGGGTAAGCATAAATGGACTTTGGGACCAAAGTCCCTCTACTACAGCACAGGGACTTTGGTCAAATTTCACCAAAATAAAAAGGAGAAATTGTCCATTTAAATTATTTTATTGATACACATACATGTTCTTATGTTTTGTAGAAAGTTTGAACTGATTTTGATAAGTTTGGATTTTTTTAAGTTGCTCTAAAATTGGACCAAAGACTCTGTACTATTATAATACGAGGACTTTTGTCCAATTTTCTCCAAAATCGAATAGAAGAGAATTTTTTATTTTATGACATTTTCTGGCACATATACTGTACATGTTCTTATGTTGCGTAGAAAGTTTGAGCGGATTTTAATGAAATTTACATGTAGATTTTTATAATTTTTAAAGTTGCCCCAAAAGTGGGCTAAAGTCCTACATCAATGTACTGTTACTATTTATAGCATCAATACACTGTTACTATTTATAGCATCAATGTACTGTTACTATTTATAGCATCAATATTTGGTGAGGTATTAATGAACTCTACAAGAGAAGAGAAGCTGTCAAGGAACAAGAAGACACTGTCTCAAATTAATAAGAAAAAAATGACTTTCCTTTATCAGTTTCTAGCCAATGACTTGACTGTTAATTATGAATAATAAAAAATTATTATTATTATCATCAATGCCGTGAGATATTTTTATGACAATTTGTAAAATATGAAAATGAATTACCGTATAGCGGAAAATTTTCGTGGCCCAAAATTTTCGTGGATTTCGCGTTTTTTCAAAATCCACGAAAATAAAATCCGCGAAAATCAATTTTATACGGTTTAAGATGGCCGAATTGTAGAAAACCACGAAAATAAAC